CAAACCACTCCATGAAAATTTATTGACCAAGCAATGTAAAAACATAACTATGATGATTACAACTCGAACCCTACCCTAAATATGAACTCTAACTATCCCCTATTTTGCACCGTACGGAGCCAACAGTGCTAATCGGAGGTGCCCCATCACGTTGCGCCAACTCGAAACCGACCTACGGCTTAATTTCACACGGCCCTCGCCCTCATGAGCCATTGCAAGCATCTTAGCTGCGCTAATCGGGTACGAGAGGCGACAATCTTTGAACTGTCGACATTTATGTTTTAACTATATCACGCTCAGTCATTTATGTTACTGCAAGCGCCTCTTGCAGTCACAGAAGTGTCCGAGAAGTGTGTGTGTGTGCGCGTGTTAATGTGTGGTTGTCCACCAGAGGTATTGAAGGTCCTATTCGGATCTCGCAAAGGAAAAGTTTGCTCAACCCTGCTCTAAACCTAATGCACCTACTCCCAATCTCGTGCCCTATCTGTAAACCTGGCCCTAAGCCCATCTGTAGCCCCCGTGTTCTGTTGTGACTGCGTTATGGGCACGTGTAAATGCACGCGCGTTCCACATGTACATACACACACGCGGCCCCGTGTCACCTTGTACGTCGCGTGTAGTTTAAACTGTACATATGGTTAAGTGACATTTGATGAGATGATATGATAATAAAATGCTTTGTTTTCAGATGGCATGTCCTTGGATATTTGTTTAATCGTCGGTCGTTAATCTTGAGCCTCTTAATCATATCTCAACCGGAATGCGCCCTCTCTCGACAGATATCAGACCTGCGTAGTGCTTGGATGGGCGACTACCATGCGGAAAAGCTTGTTGCAGGCTGTCGTGGGGCTACGTGATGGGCAACAGCGGGCGGTGCAATAAGATGTACTGTACTGACGTGCTCCCAACGGCTATGCTACCCGCATGGGAAAAGCTAAAGGCAGATAGTGATGACGATGATACTTGAGATTTTGTCCTTGAAGGATGTGTCAATCTGTGTAACAAGTAGAGATATTTCAATATCTTGGAAAAGCCATCCAGTAGTGAATAGAGCATGGCCGATGATGAAAAAGCACAACACCTAAAGCCAGATGGTGATGCTGAGAATGTAGTGGATATATATAATAGCTGAGACGTGAGGGAAAATGTACCACGAGTTGATGTGGGCCTGTCACGTGTGGCTTCATGTGGCTGCCGTTGTGACCAACCAGAGTGACACGCGCCGGGATTTTTGAATGATTCCGCTGGAATATATCAGCAGTCAGAGTCGTTCAACATTCAGATGGATAATTAATCAGATATTATTGTCGCAAGCACTCCATATTAAATGACACCCCATTCACCGCAAAATGCAACACTAATCATGTTTTAAAATATATATAGCGTCGTTCATGCCAATATCTTGCAATCACTGAGGAACCACCACATACAAGCGGGGAGGCAGTCGTCAGGCGGTGAGTCTGTGCCAATAATTGCCCGAGCTTTGCAATGCTCTTAAGATATATATATTTTCCAGCCAATAATGAGTGTTTATGCATATCCGAGGAATTGGGAGCCACCGGATAAACAAACCCAAGCCTGCCATGGGACAACACTCCATTAGAGGCCGACCGAAATTCAGTTTCGGTCGGCCTCTAACACTCCATTCCCATACCAAAGGGACAGATGGAGATCAGTCCTCACTGCTGTTGTAGCTTCTGGCAAATCAGGGTATGGCTCCTCGACTTCGACTGCAAGGCACTTTCACGACATCTATGTGTGATCCACCAACCCTTGCTGCCTCGACAGCACCGGATCACAGGCGTGCGATGCGTTACCGTGGATGACCCAGGCAGGGGGTGCCTTGGCTCTCCCTGGTGGCCAAAGTTACAAGTTGGGCCCCCACTTGGCAGCCAGCCATGATGTTTTAAGCAGTAAATATATTTAAAAAACTAATTTAAAACGGAGCACCGTTTTCGCACTAAATGTTGAAGACCGTGAGCGTAATGATGTGAGGAGGTAAGTGGAGCCGCGATTTTTCGACTGGGTGCGGCCGTGCGAGACAAATCACAATCTTGGGGCCCCACCTGACTGATTGCCACACCGCTTGTCTCCAGATACAAACAATGATGGCCATGGCAGTAGCGTCACTGCCATGGTTATAATAAAACAACACGTGACAATACATTATATACGTGAGTCCATCAGCCTCAGGTGTGTCGACTGTGAAAAAGGACCATTGCCAGAAACGTCGGATATATTTAACATTTTAAGGGCACTCAGTGCAATTGAAGAATGTGTTGAGGAATTGTTTTCGAAACGTGCTTTTAGAGGACAGTATTTGGCCGCTTTACATGTCCACATGATGAGCCACTTCGTTGAGCTGCATTACTCAGTGGGTCTTACCGAGTAAAATAAAAAAAACATGATAATAGGTTTTTCCCCTTTTACCTGGCAACAAAACAGGTGTGAAGTTGTTAAAACACCAAACTGAAACCTTTTACAAGGAATAATGTCTGCATTAACCACAATACTTGTGGTCAAAATGCAAACAAAAACACACACTCTGATAATATAATGGCATTGACTTTGAAACTGATTGGTCCACACCAGAGACAGCTTTCTTTTGAGCCTCGTCTCAAGCGGCGTTAGACCAGAGGACGCCAAAAGCCGAACAGCACAAAGACAATGCCACTATCAAAGTAATGAGAGCTCGGGGTGAGCAACTACATCATGGTTTTAGTTTGGGGTTTTAACAACCTCACATCTGTTTAGTTGCCAGATAAAAGGGGAAAAACATATTTTCATATCTTGGTACTGGCAAAGGAGGTCCCATAATGAGAAAAAAAAAATCTATTTTTATTGTTAAGTCGTTGCGTGTCTGTGGGTTGGTATGAGCGGCTCGTTGGTCTAGGGGTATGATTCTCGCTTAGGGTGCGAGAGGTCCCGGGTTCAAATCCCGGACGAGCCCAGCTTTTTATTTTATTTTAGCGAGCAACTTCAACCATGTTCCGCCCGCCAGTGTTCTCTCCACACGTTGCTGTGGCTATTTTATTTTTTTATTGCGTGTGCAACCTAAACGACATTTACAACATTGAGCACTGCATTCAAATGGTTAGATTTTGTTGTTGCTGAATTGGTTGATGGTGGAAAGGGGAGCGCGGTGGGGATGGAGGGTGGGGTGGGGGGCTCTCGCGTGCCGCCACGTGGCCAATGCGCGCCAGTGACTTGCAAAGCGCAGTGCAAAAAAAAATCATCAATTTCCGTCGATCACGCTCACTCAACTCCGCCGACGCAAACCCCCCCAACCTCGCACGATGCACCGATGTCATAATAATCCATCAAGTCGCCGCACGCCGAACAGATTTCATCCGCTCCGTCTCCACTTTGGACGTTGCTCGTTTTCTCGAGCGGTTACACAGGCTGCTGTATCTTGACTGCCCCTTAAACTAAAGTAGAACAATGTTATTTGACCAGGTAAGGCCCACCACGGGAGCTGTAAAGCTGTTTTTTTCAGAAGCGACCTGTCCATCACAAAAGAGAGCTCAACGAAGTGGCTCATCATCACGTGGAAATGTAGCCCAGCCGAAACACCCTAAACGCGTGTTGTGTCTCACATGTACATACACGAGGAGAGAGCGAGAGAGAGAACGTGTACATTCCAAATATACAGCAGCAGGCGTCAGAGTCGGGATCGAACCCCACGACGACCTCCTCAGCACCAGGCCGAGGTAGTTCACATCGCGCCTCCAGTTCCAACACTTTACCCCACCCACACGCGGACCTGCCAATGGGACGACCAAATTGTGGCTTGACCCATTACCCTGAGTGGACTGAAGACGGCAAGAACAGCAGCAGCAGCACGTGCGCGTTGTTTCAATTGCCTCGTCGGAAACGTCAATGCCAACCGGCGACTTTTGCCCTGCTGGACCAGGGAGTGTTCTGAACTCCTTCCAATGTGGCAGGTTGCCCGAACACGTACTTATTTATTTATCAACCGGTGATTTAAAAAAAAAGAAAAGCTGGGCTCGTCCGGGATTTGAACCCGGGACCTCTCGCACCCAAAGCGAGAATCATACCCCTAGACCAACGAGCCGCTCATGCAGGAGCTCGGCATAATTCACTACTTAACCTCACGAAGCAAGGCACCGTGTTCAGATCACGTTGATTGTAATCAATTAATCGAGGCGTCCATGTTACGCGGTGATGTGGCATCAACTTTAACTTATTGTTCTCTTTGTTTCCTACGGGTTTCTCGTGAGCCCGACTCCTCTCTTCCCCGATGGCCTGGAACGTGACGTCACGCACGACGGACGGTGGTGTCCGATGACGTCACAACACGCAGGATGACATCATCTTCCACCGTCGAGTGCCTGGGAACGTTTGCTGGACGACGTCATCCCGCGTGTCTGTGTTGTCTGTCCGCGTGCCTTGGTGCACCTGGCCTGGCACTTTGCGCCGTGGTGACGTCACCACCGCTCAGTGGCGAATTGCGGCTGTTGTTGTTGTTTTGGAGCAGTGGCGCAGTGAGTGGATGGTGAGCGCCTTGTTCACGGCTCAGTGAACGTTGTCTCGCACATTCCAGAAAGGGCATCTCGCAATCCCCGGCGGGTGCGTGGTGCACCCCCAGGTGAAGAACCACCGCTCTATATCGACTTCAGCCGTTGAGTAGCTGGTATCGTGTGGGTAAACATGAGCACTGGGGAGACAAAGGCGGCCGGGCGTGGTGTAATGGGCCCAACGCAGACTTGGGGATCTTTATATTGGCTCTGATGGCACCAGAAATTCGGTTCGTGATGATGTCATGTCCTCCGCAGGCAGACCGACGTCATAAATGCGTTTGTAGAATCGATTCGAAAACTTTTGTAAATGTCAAGTCGAATCGCCTCTCAGTCTCATACAATACGACTGGATTGATCCCGAATCGGAGTTGCCTTTTTTCAGTGCAGTGCTAACCACTGCGCCACCGCTCCCCACGGCTCTCCCTTCTAGATGCAACCCCCTCCCGACGCCCAGCACACCGTGGGAATAGAACACAGCGCGAGGAATCGACGCGCACAGTCTAGAATCGAACAACGTAATCGATTCCATCGTAACCAACCCGGTCCTCTCTCGCCACAGGCCTCCGAGTGAGGATTGCAGCGATTAAACAACAACAAAAACAACAACAAGAACAAAAACAACAACATCGTTATCGTCGTCGCTACGAACCACTGTTGTTGTCATCACCGTCGCTAGCCGTGTAAGAGATGAAGCCGTCCGTGGTGGTGGACGAGATGTTCCCGGAGGGCGCGGGCCCTTACGTGGATCTGGACGAGGTGATGAGGCCTCGCTGGGGCCGGGCTCTCTCCACTGCTCGATGGGGCTTGCGGCCTCGCCGTTGTTGTTTTTGTTGTTGTTGAGCTTCGTGTGCGCGGCCCGCACGCAGTTCGCCATTCGCGCCCCGTGTACGTTAGGTCGGTGGCGCTAGTGCCGGACTAAGCTAGTGCGGGGCCTGTAGTATGTGTAATGTTATAAAGGGGCCCTAAATATATTTTTAAACACGTAAATATTAAAACACAAACTTTTAACTTGCATAGCTAAGTAATTGTATGTTTTCATTTGCTATACAGCCAGATGATACGACAAATCGCTAACCTTAAACACCCGGTCGATCGTAAAAGTCTAAGGCGGTATAGTACTATAGTAATAGAGCACGTGCAGGATCACTGACCCGGAGTTGATAACTTGAAAGCGTTTAGCGCGGGGCCCTTGAGAGTGCGGGGCACGTAGCTACTACTAAATATGTAGATACTACATATGTAGCTACTACATGTGTAGCTACTTGTACTACATGTGTAGCTACTTGTACTACACATGTAACTACTACACATGTAACTACTACACATGTAACTACTACACATGTAACTACTACACATGTAGCTACTACATATGTAGCTACTTGTGCTACTTGGATAATCCGGCGTTGAGTGAGTGTCCTGCCCTGGGCCCCCCACAGCTTTTGGTCGACTCCGGCTCTGAGTGATGTTGCTGCTTCACCTGCGCGCGGTGCGGTTCAACATCCACACCGGGGGAGACAAAGGCGGCCGCGCGTGGTGCTGGTCTAACAGCAAGTTGCCCAGACAGTGTGTGGGCTACACGGGGCAACTTTGTTGTCGTGTTTACGTACCGTGTCAACCCATACCGTGTCAACCCATACGGTTCAACTCCGTATTCTTGTACGGGGAAATTGAGTTTCCAGGTCCATACGGGCAAAAAATGTGTCTGTAGGATGAACGTTGAGATTTGTAAGGGCACGGGGTGACCAATAAATTTAGAATTGGTGTGTAATAAGGGAGACACTCGTAAGGGGTTGACAGGTTTATGTATATAGAGTACTTTGTGTTTATGTATATAGAGTACTTGTGTGTATCGTTGTGTATATCTGTGTGTATACAGTATATCAATGACGATTATCTGAACCGGTCCTGGGCCTCCCCGAGTTCGACTCAACCTCAAATGAGTACATTTGTGCGATGTGTAAACATCGCTACTCGGGGAGACAAAGGAGGTCGGGCATGATGCTGGCCACCCACCCACTCGTGTGCGTGCCGGCATTAATAAGCGCTCACTAACAGCACTTGCCCCAACAGTCTGTTAAGGCTATACACGGGATCTTTGTGTATGTGTCAATATCTGTATATCTATATCTGAGCAACTGCAAGTTATATTAATTATTTCATATTTGCGTTGGCTAGGTCATGTAGCCCATATCCACAGCCACCGCATGTCCCGAGCACCTTCTGTTTGACCGGATAGAGGGGGCTAAACGTGGCGTGGAACTTGCTAGAGGAGAGATGGAGTGATGCGGTACAAAAGTATGTGGATCTGAGTGGACTTGCCGATGACCGGTACCAGCGGTGTCAAGATTGGCCTCTGTGGAGGAGGCTCGTGAAGGACGCTGCTGGTCAGTCGAAGGCAGTCGCGCTCCAACAACAACAACAGAGGCAGATGAGCGACGCAACAACGAGCGGAGCGCCGTGCGGCTAAAACGCGGCAAGTTGGCACAGTAGGGGGCATAGATGGGTGCATCTGCCAGCCATCTCAGTCAGTCAACCCATGGCACTTGGGTCTGTTCCGTGACCTGCCAGGGGGTCTTAGACATTTCTTGTACCCTCAAAGTGCACCTAGCTTGGCAAAGTGCTGCCGTAACGTCGCCGCCACTTAGTGGCGATCGGCAGTTATATCGGTGTGAGTTTCTGTGTGTTTATATGTGTATATCTGGGTGAGTTTCTGTGTGTTTCTGTGTATATCTGGGTGAGTTTCTGTGTGTTTCTTTGTGTGTTTATGTGTGTATATCTGGGTGGGGAGCGGTAGTGGAGTGGTTGGCACGCTGTTCCACAAACCCGACGCCCCGGGCTCGATTCCTGCTCGGGCTCAACACCAGTGACGATTATCTGAACTGGTTCTGGGCCTCCCCTAGGTCGACTCAACATCTGGTGCTGTGTGTAAACATTGTCACTAGGGAGACAAAGGCGGCCAGGCGTGGTGCTGGCCACCCACCCCCCTCGTGTGCCGTGCCGACCTTCATAGGTGATCGCTAACAGCACTTGCCCCTACAGTTTGTTAAGGCTATACGTGTGATCTTTGTCTTTGTACGGTACTTATCTCTGTGTATCTCTGTGTGTGAGAGAAGGCAGGAGGCAGCAGTGGGCTGCTCATGGACCTGGCAGCCAATGAGAAGGCGGTTCACAACGACTTTTACAATGGTCAGTGCTCTCTTCAACCAGGCGGTGGTGGTTATGCTGCATGTGGCCTGTGATCCAGCACTGTGGAGGCAGCGAGAGTTGGTGGCGTGTTATAAGTTGAAATTAGAGGCCATCCATTTAGTACGTACGCAAAAATCTGTCGAAACTTGACCCCTCCCCCCCTCCCTGTACACATGCATACTTTTTATACCCCCCTCCCACCTGCGTACGTACGCTTGACGCACCCCCCACCCCCCCCCCCCCCGCGAATCCTATAGAAACGGCTGATATTAATATTACGTGTTTAAGCAAACAGTCCATCGCCGACTGCATTAAAGATTTAAGTTGTGTACCTTGCCCACTTATTTTGCTGAGCTGCGTGATAGCTGCAGTCAGGGGCACGGTGGCATACAAGCGACACCTCTCCCACAGGCCCACTTCTCCCGGTGGTGCTCGTCTGACAGCTGGAGAAACTGAACTGTGGCTCATTTGAAGTCCATGGAGACAAATTATTATCGAGGCTTCACCCCTCCCCGTTTCCTATGCGTACGCACATTGTCAGTAGACCCCCATACGCAAGCGTACGCATTTGGGTTAACCCCCCCCTCCATGCGTACGTACTCAATGGATGGCCCCTTAGAGTCTTATTATCTGCACATTCACCACACCCACCTGCCACCACACACTCCCCACGCTCTTCACAACCACACACTCTCACCACACACTCCTCACACCCCTCACACACCACACACTCACCACACACTCAACACAAAACTCACCAAACATGACGCTCGCACTGTACACTCTTCTCACCCACACTTCCTGCTCACCACACACTTGCCACACACTCCCTGCATACCACACCAAACACTTCCCACACACTGCACTCACTGCGCACTCTTCTCACTCACCGCACACTCTGTGGCTCATGCATATTCGATGTTAGAGCCTCGTATCTCTGGACATGTGCGGCCCACTAGTCAATCCACTGCTGAATGCGGTGTCTCTCTCCCACACTGTCGGTCAGGGGAGCTATTTGACCGTGCTTCGCACCAGTCGGTGCCAGGTGGTGAAGTGGGGAGGGGAAAGCCCTGGACTGCTTCGGATATCGCTCACCACTGTCGATAGCTCTGCTGTCGCCGAGTTCGTGAGCGCAGTGCGCCTCCCCGCAAGCTCCACCCGCTCCTATTGTTTCTCTCTCTTTCTGTCACCAGATTTCGATGATCTCTTTGACGATGACGACGTCCAGTGAGGAAGCTCCTACCACCCAGGAGCCGCCGGCCAATCAGAACGCGACTTGCACAGCCATGCCACGCCCACTCCCAGCTCGGCTCCACCCCCCAACCTCCCCTGCTGATGATGTCGTGACGCGTGATGTCGGCTTGGAACGTGGCCTTTTCGCTAATTAAAGAGTTCCATAATAGAGGGTTTTTTGGGTTAGATCGCGTAAATATATAAATGTTTAGTTAAAACCCGCCACCACCCGACACGGCCAACTAGTAAGGGGTTGTCACGTAAACAGAACGTGCCAATTCAGGCGTCGCCTGATGAAGCTGGTTGTAATTACTGGCGAAACATCGTACTCAGATTGTACATGTTGTGGCTTGGCTCTCCAACACACCGGTTAGTGCTGTACTAATAACGAATTGGCCACGTTCTGTTTACGTGACAACCCCTTACTAGTTGGCTGTGTCGGGTGGTGGCGGGTTTAACGACACATGCGATCTAACCTAACAAAAACCCTCTTATGGATGATATTGGTCGCAAAAGCCTACGTGTTAATCTAAATATTTCCACGCGTTGCAAAGCGGTACAGAACCCATGCGTGCGCATGGTTTTTCTTGTACCTTCACCGCCTTTCCTCCCCCCATGTCCCCTGGGTAATCGAGAGTGGACTGCAGGTGTCACTTTTTTCCACACTCGGAACTTTGTTCTGTTCCTCTTTACAGGTAAGGGGGAGGAGGTCTGAACTCGAGGCCCAAACAGTTCCTCTACTCAATATAAATGTATTCCGTTTCCTTTGTTCCTGACAAGTGGCTTGTTTGTTCGGAACAGGCATCCCTAGTGTTAACACGCATTTGTTCTTGATTTCATCATCGTGATTATAGTTGTAATGATGCGTCAAGTTTCATTGATAACCGTGTCAAACTGTAAAAATACAATTCGGATTTGTTGAGCGTGTTACGTACAACTATTGTCGTGAGAAAGACGACCTGGTATGTGTGTGCAAGCTGGCAGACGAATGGATTGCTGGATGGACAGACAGACGAAGAGATGGATATGCTAAGAGATGGACAGACGCACAAACCCATGGACAAATTGGATGGGCAGATGTGGTGGGCGGCGACAGTAGACGGATGAGAAAGACGTGCGAAGCGACGGGGGACGGCCGAGCGCACCGACGGGACGACAAGACGGCCAGATGAACAGAGGGGAAGGGGCACGTGGATTGACACGGCGGACAAAGAGACAGACGCTCCCGTTGCTGGCGCTAGGGGGGCTGCCCGCTTCTGGGGGGGGGGGGCGTGGAGGACGCGCACCACTCGCCGAGACCCGATCCCCCGGACTCGCGTCTCGGCCTGCTAAGTTTAGCTCCGCACCTGTGTTTGTGGCAACCGCTCCCACAGTTGCCATGCGTGCAAGAGAGCACACGAGCGCATGCACGGGCACACGCGCGGTCACACAAACGCGTGGATTTGCACAGACGCGTGTGCACGCGCGGTCACGAGCTTGCACACAGTCCTAAAGACAAAAGGCAGCTCCCCCGAAAAGCCTTTAACAGGCTGTTGAGGCAAAGTGTTGTTAGCGAGTAGCACCTACGAAGGCCGACATGGCACACAAGGGGGTGGGGTGACTGGCAAGTCGGCCGGCAAGGATTACACACTGCACCAGATACTCATTTGAGGTCGAGTCGACCTAGGGGAAGCCCAGGACCGTTTGAGATAATCGTCACTGGTGTCGGCCGTGAATGGGATTTGAACTCAGTCGCCTGGTTGGCATCACAGTGTGCTTATCCCTGCACTACTCGCACAAACACGATCACACTGTCACGTGGAATACATATGCACACCGCTGTTACACATGCACTTACACATGTTTGTTAACGTTAAAATTCAGTACGCGAACGACCCCATCATCATCATTGGGATGTTTGGCCAATACAGTACCAGTTACATTGCATTTTCTTTAGATCTGGAATGAAACTGGAACCCAGAGGAAACCCATGCAGAACAAGGGGGAGAACAGTTTTTATATAAACAATATTCGCAGTCTTGTATGTTGAACTTCTTTCACACCGTACGTAGCCAACCGTGTTCATCGGAGTTTCGGGGGAAGGACAAAAAACTAAACACAAAAGGCAGTTCGAAAAACACCACAATTGTTTTCAAGCTAGATTTAAACGTGCATAGCTCCAGTAGTTTACGAACTTCGCTTGCATGCATCGACCTATTCTTCTTCGAGTACGCTGGAGTGTTCAGCTCCATTGCGTTATTGCCGCTCGTGAGTTTACTCCTCGTAGTAAGGGAATGGTTAATTCAGGTGGTCAGATGAATTTGGCCGAGTGCACGCCATTGGGTCCCATGGCGAGAGCATTGATATCGTTGGCACGTGTCTGGGTGGAGCTGTTGTTGAGTCGGCTTTGGCCTTCAGGGGGGAGGGGCGGGGGGAAGAAGGGGCCGAGGGGCGGGGGTCTCGTGGGTGGATCTGCAAGAAAAGTTTTTGCTGTCAAAAGTGCGATGATGATGCTGCTGGCCATTGTGAACCACGGTTTTAAGTTAAAATATAGATTTACCAAGTGAGAGCGCAAGAGACTAGCATGAGTCATTTGCAAAAGTGAACTCGGCATTAGTCTTGTCAGTAGGGGATGATCACTTACATACTGTGTTGTCATTTAATAATTTGCGGGTAATTTTTGAATTCGGCAAAATTTGACCCTGACGCCGGCACACAAGGTCCTCCTCTTGCAAATGACGGCAGGGGATGTTTAATATTGACTGTGAAGCAGACGGCGCGTAGTATCATTACGGTTATTGCACACCGCAGTAATAACCAGGGCAGCCGCTGGATGCGATCCGCGGACCTCGGGAACAAGCGGCGAACGCGCTCCTGTCAGCCAATGTCACGACCCTTAAAAGGTTAAGGAAATTATTTGGAGATGCTGCTGCTGTTGGTAGTGGTGCACAAGTTAATACTGCGGCTTTAAAATAAAACCAAAATACAATAGGCCACGTTTTGGGCAATGACCCTTCATAGAACATACAATTTTACTTTTGTATGTGCTAAGAGAACGTCACCTGCAGAGGCGGCATGATGCGTTCATCTCGTGTGCTAGGTGAATGTCGAATCGTAGGACCGTGAGAGATGGCCGTGGCGTGGATAGCATTCATCCAGCGGTGGCTCGATCGTGACTTAGGCCGATTCATCAGAGCGGCTCTCCGCCTCCATGGGAACTCAGGCTCGTGTCCCGACACTGGAAATCAACTCGGAGCATCGCTAACAGGTGCAGCCACGGCGGTGATAAATGAGGAGGGGGGGAGCTGGAGTGAAGGGAGGAGAGAAGGTCGAGGAGGATGGAAGAGGAGGCTTAGGAGGAGGGGAGGAGCAGGCTTGAGGGATGAGGCTGGAGAGGGAGGATGGATGAGGAGGAGGGGTGATGGGTGAGGGGTTGGAGAGGAGGGAGGGGAGGAGGTTGAGGCTGGAGAAGATGGAGTAGGGTTAATTAAACAAGATGAGGCTGTAGAGGAGAGAGGGAGGCAGAGGGTTGAGGCCGGGGAAGACGATGGAGGAGGGTTGATGGGTGTAGAGGGAGGAGTCGGGGATGTTGAAGGATGAAGCGGGGGGGGGGAGGAGGGAGGGTGGCGCGGCTGAGGAGGGATGGGGCTGGAGAGAGGTGGATGTCCCAGGAGATGGAGGCTCTGTTTCCCGTCGCAGCTCGGGTTCTCGCTCTGTGGGTGGCGACAGCTGCCGTCGTGAACCCCTCGCGCGGGACCGCGCAGAGCGGGACACGCGGTGAGGCTCGCACGGCCTCCCGGGACACTACGGTTCCAGAAACACCGGACGCACGCACGCACGCACACACACCTCCACGCGCGTGTGTCGCCAGTGTTGTGTATGTGGAGAGTGGTGGCGCATTGGTTAGCGCGCTGCACGACGAACCCGGCGACCCGAGCTCGATTCCCACTCACGGTTCAACATCGATGACTATTATATGAAACGGTCCTGGGCCTCCCCTAGGTCAACTCAGCCTCAAACTGAGTACGGTATTTGCTGCGGTGTGTAAACATCAGAACTGGGGAGACAAAGACGGCCGGGCGTGGTGCTATTTTCACCCATATCTTGCGCACCGTACCGGCCTTAATCAGTGTACACTAACAGAACTTGCCCCAACAGTGTAGGCGACACGGATGATCTTTGTCTCAATAGTTGTATGCGTCTAAGTGGAATATACGGGGGTAACTCATCATTATCAACACATCGCCATGATCATAATAAAGTACACATCTTTATAATAATCAACAACCAGTTATAATCACAATGAAGAATTGTCAATCATCCGTTATCGATCAATCAATAATTATAATCTGCAATAATATTCGTAAAAAGCCATCACCAATATATATTTGTATATCCGACCAGGATGGCTTAACCCATCATGCATCCGGGATCGATACAAATAAATACCACTTTATTGAAATTCAACAGCAGTTCTATGAATAGACTAGCCCCGCCATAGGAACGTGGAATCTACCACTGGCTCAGGGCTGTTAAACAGGTGAGAACCGCCTCACTTCTCATTTGAGCTCGAAATTACTGCGATTGATATCTTGCTAACGACGAAGATTATCAGTAAGTCACCGAACGTTATCTTTATATGTGCAATAATCAATGAACGATGCCCACAATCACGAGTGCAATATTACCGTAATTCTCCCAAAAACATCCATATACATACAAAACATGTTCGTTGATTTCACAGCACATCATAAAAAAAAAAATAACCAATCGTATTTATCATCAATAATTACGTACATCATTCTATCTCTCTGGTCTCTCTCATCAATGTGCTATAAAGAAGGGCCATTGCCCGAAACGTCGCCTATGTTAAGCCATTAAATAACTGGTTGGGTTCTGTCGCCTGGGTGGGCGGGGGCACGCCAGGGGGCGGGGTCTAAGCCTTGAGGGGCGGGGTCTAAGTCTTGGGGGGGCGGGGTCTGTGCCTTAGCTCCGCCCCCTCGCACCAAGAGCGCGGAGAGCGGAGCCCGAAAGCTCCTCCCGGGGTGGATCGCGTAAAGTTCGGACAAGAAACTTTAAACATTCGCCAGTCAAGCGCGGGCGAAGGCGAGAAAGCCCCAATCAAAACCGCCCTCCTCTGCGATGCATTAGCCCGTCCGCGCGTTCCCAATGGCTGTAGACCCCGCGGACCACCTCGCCGTGGGTAGGCCCGAGTCGGGACCACGCAGCTCGCCTAGAGTCCGCGGCGGGGAAGGTGCGCCGAGCCCCGGCGACGAGGGAAGGAGGAGAGGGTTCGGCGCGGGACTCCCGGGGTTGCCGCTACTTCTGCTGCTGTTGCTGCTGCTGCTGCTCCTGGTCGCGTACGTGGACGTGAGGCTCCGCCTGGAGGCGCTGGAGAGGCGCTGCGTGGCTGTGGCGGAGCGTGAAGGAGGAGGCTGGGTGCAGGTGGGGTGTAGCGTAATGTGGTGTGTGTGGTTGGCACGTGTGTGTGTGTGCGCGCGTGTACGCGCGTTCGTGTGTGTGTGTGTTCATAAAAGTCTGTGAAGGCTATTCCGGGGATCTTTGCTGCTGTTGTGTTTGTTGACCTTTGAGTCGACACGAGCAAAACGTGCACGTGTGTGTTTACGTTTGTGGGCACGTGTTTGGGAGCGGTGGCGCAGCGGTTAGCGCGCTACGCTGCAAACCCGGCCACCTAAGTTCGTTCCCCGCTCAAGGGCCAACGCCGGTGACGAATGATCTGAACCAGTCCTGGGCCTCGACTAGATCGACTCGGCCTTATTTGAGTCCCTGGTGCGATGTGTAAAACGTCGCAACTAGGGAGACAAAGGCGAACGGGTGTGGTGCTTGTCACCCACCCCCTCCTGTGCTGTGTCCAACCTTCATAGGTGCTCGATAAAAACACTTTAACCCAACAGTCTACTAAGGCTATACGGGGGTTGGGGGGGTCTTTGTCTCGTGTTGTATATATGTGTATGTGTGAACACGTGGGGGAGCCGTGGCGCAGTTGTTAGTGCACTGCGCTATACACCCGGGTGACCCGAATTCGATTCTCGCTCAGAGCCAGGATCGGTGACGAATATCTGCAATGCTTTGCTCTTGACTTTTCCAAATGTATTCTTTATTTGGAGAAAAGTGCATCACCCCAGAGCGGCCCACGGAAGAAGATATCACAGAACGACATCCGAGATTCTTTCAACTGACCTCTTATCCCCACTAGGGTGCAGCATGTTAATACACGCCCTGCTATAGAGATGTTCGTTGCGTGACAGTCAAATCGGATTGATTTTAAACTGAAGAGCTGGAATGTTAATCTTACGCTAGTATACCTAGGAAGGCCCAGTCTCGTGGCTGTTTTAGCTAAGCTTTCATATCGCGATATTGTTGCTGTGTAATGCCATTTGAGTTATTTGCGGTTCGTTTTCAGCATTGTGATGTTTGGCGAATATCAGTCGGCTATGGGATAAAGCCGGAGAACCTGGAGAAAACCCATGCAGAACAAGGGGAGAGGGAACATACGAACTCCACACAGAACGGCAGCGGAGTCGGTAATCGAAGCCAGCGACTTTTTAATGTGAGACTGCCACTGTTTCACAACCCTGCCGATCACATTAAACTTTTTATTTTGCCAAACTAAACTCTTTTTATTTTTACCAGGTAACGCTCACTGAGCTATTTAGCTCTTTTTTCAGAAGCGACCTGGCCACAAATGATAGCGCGGTGAAGTGGCTCATCACGTGGAAAGTTATAGCAGCCGAATACTCCAAACGCGTGTTGATGCTAAATGTGGAGGTGGCGGGGAAAAACCAGCGAACCCGGAGAAAAATCCACACGACCACAGGGAGAGACGTCAGGGTTGGAATCGAATCTACAACCTGCATACCAGGCGAGGGAGTTAACACCTCGTCACCAATTAAGTGCAAAATCAAATGTAAATGATGTATTTTTTGTGCATTCGTTGGTGACTGGGCGTAAGACTTATCAACTCGCTACACTTAAAAACTCAATTTTATTACAGGTGGCTGAAACCCGAATATGAAGCCAGGGTCTCCCTAATAAACAACGTTAGCCCAACGTTGGCCTATCAGTTCCAATGGAGTGCCAATGTTGGCTCAAAGCTCTGATCGCCGCGGTCTGCTTCTGCAGTCCGCTCTGACAGCGGCGCACAGCTACATGATGAAGGCCACTTGTGTTGTGGCCGAAACGTCGTGATTTTTGTTATTTTATTTTTTACCTACGTGACTTTACCGAATAGAACCAAAGAGTATGGATCCTTGCAGTCACGAAAGCGTCAAATCTAGAATGGGAATTCAGAGCCCGCTCTTCGTTTTATGGCGCCGATAGAAGAACAATGGAGATTAAATTGGAGAAACTGTTGAATGTATATACACAGTACAGTATTTCCTCGTTATTCATGGCACTTGCTATCTGCGATTTTGGCTATCGCATATCACATCTGGGACTCTACACAACTGCATCGAGAGAGAGAAAGAAAGTGATGAGAGAGCATGTGATGTGAGAAAGTGATGAGATAAAGAGACGAGAAAGATAGAACTTCTTGAACCTTTATAAGCATCTGCAGACATTGCGCATACAATATTCGTAGGCCAATATCATCCACGAAATTTACTATTCACGAGCGTCTCCGGAACGTATCCCTGATGAAGAACGAGGGAATACTATACGTAAATATATACACACACACACTTTGAGGAGTTGTCACCATAGCAGTTTAGTGTTAAAATGCAGAAGACTTGTCAATGGAATTGTACAGACACCCCAATGCAGCAGAAACCCTCCTGAAAAATAATCTTGAGACTGAGCGAGGGTCTTCCTGGGTAATTCTAGATTTAAAGCTTTTGTGACTGCAAGGATCCATACTCTTTGGTTCTATTCGGTAAAGTCCTGGGTAAGTATACACGAAAAAAGTTTGCTAGCTTTGGCATGGTGCTCATTATCATTGCTGACCTTGAGCCAATGGCGGGAATTCCACATTTCCCTGGCTAGGCCAAGTCCATCACGGGGGACACATCCAAGAGGACGACTTCCTGGGAGATGGAGTGATTAAATCAGTTCCTATTACAGATGCAGGGTGGATTATCACTTTGCAAGAACGTGAGATGTGTCGGTGTCTTGGGGAGGCCTTCATTCAGCAGTGGATTGATCATGACCGACGATATAAGGTCTTTGTGTCAGGCACATAACAATGCACGGATTAAAATCTGTTACGCTCACGGGATTTGCGAGCGGGCCCTACGTCTCGGCACGTCTGACCCGCAGCTATAAACGTGGCACCGCTGCCCTGCCATAAAGTTACGCAACCCTTGCCCCGTGTGGAACTGGTCGAGCAGTTGTGCCTCCGTAACAATGGCGCCCTTTAATGTCTGACCTTTGTGCATGCGACAGCAACCTCTGTGGGAGGAGGAGGCGGCGGCGGTGGGCATGAGGGAGAGGAGGGAGGAACCGGGCCGACGGAGGGAGAGGCCCCGCGATAGGAGAAAGAAAGGTGAGTGTGTGCGTCCGTGCGTGTGTCCGTGTGTGTGCAGCGCGCTAACCGCTGTAGTGTAGCGGTTAGCGCGCTGCGCTACGAACCCAGTGACCCGAGTTCCATACCCGCTCATGGCCAACAACTGTAACGATTATCTGAACTGGTCCTGGGCCTCCCCTAGGTCGACTCAGCCTCAAATGAGTACCTGGTGCGAAGTGTAAACATCGCCACTGGGGAGACAAAGGCAGTCTGGCGTGATGCTGGCCACCCATCCTCTTGTGTAACCGTGATCACCTTCGCAGGTGTTATTCACTAACACCACTTGCCCCTGCAGTCTGTTATGGCTATATGGGGGATATTTATATTCGTGTTTGTGGTATGTGTCAATTTGTCTTTGTGTATGCCTCTGGCCAATTGCACCTCTATTCCACTCAACAACCGAGCTAAGAAGGCACCAAGTTGTTTTTTTCCGCTTCAGATGCCGAGCCGTGCCACTGAAGTCGCACGCAACGCGTGACTGAGACGCGTGTAGGTGACGACGAGGTGACGCTTTAGTCCTTACAGTGTTACCGACTCGCGTCACGCACGGTGCACTGGCCCTGCTTAGCCCGGAGCCAAATTAGAATATCTTGCGATGCCAGCGTATCGCAGTTTCGGTTTCCGGCTCAGCACGGCAAATAGCCAGTGGAAAAAAACGACCCGTACCATGAGGACCCCGTGCTGGCTTGGCTCGGATGGTGCCAGTGGAAGAAGGAATATCGGAGACCGTCGCCCTCCCATGGCTATGGAGGGCGGAGGTGCTACGCCCGCAACAAACGAGCGGAACACCGGGCGGGCAAAACGCAGCCGCTTGGCACAGTGGGCAGCACAGGTGGTGCATGCGGCAGACACCTAAAGTCAACCCGTAACACCTGGGTCTGTTGCGTGGCCTCTTATCAGAAGCGAGCCTTCAACGCTTCACGTGGTCTCAAGGGATCGATCACCTTTGTCTTGGTTTACATGTTGTTTGTGTGTGTTTTCGTGTGTTATTGTAATGTGTGTGTGTGTCCATCCCTGTGTTGTGTGTTTGTATGTAGCGGTAGTAATAATAATCATTCCATCTATTTTCCTTGGAAAGCCTCCACTGAGCCTAGAGATGCTTTTGGGATGTTTGACTGATTCCATGAATGGGAGTTTGGAGCCACGTGGGAGGAAACCGGAGAACCCAGAGACGGCCCGCCAGGCATACGAGGGAGTCGCACGCTCAAAGCGTCCGCACAGATAGCCCATTGCTGCACCGCCATCGTTTCCTGTTCGTCTCACACGGCCCAAGCGCACAACGCCTGGCATTGCCTGGCAGCCTCCCACCCGAGCACGAACCAGGCTGCAGCCTGCTCAGTTTTTAGAGATGTGATGAGGGCATTGGGGGTGAATTGGTCACGTACGTGCTCGTGTGCGGTATGTATGAGTGAAATGTGTGTTTTGTGTGTCTTGTGTGCGAGAGGTGTGTGTGTGGTCTGTCTATGTGTGGTGTATCTTTGCATGTAGTGTAACTTTGTGTCTGTGTGTGTGAGTGGTCTGAGCGAGTGTGTGTGTGTGCATGGTGCATGTGTGCATGGTGTGTGTGTGAGTTCATGCTGCAAGGGTCGTGTGCATTGTGGGTATCTACGTGTGTGTAAGTGGTCTGTGTGAGCGAATGTGTGTCTGCGTGTGTGCATGGTGTATGTGTGTGTGAGTTTATGCTGCAAGGGTCGTGTGCATTGTGGGTATCTACGTGTGTGTAAGTGGTCTGTGTGAGCGAATGTGCGTCTGCGTGTGTGCATGGTGTATGTGTGTGTGAGTTTATGCTGCAAGTGTCGTGTGTGTAATGAGTGTCTGCGTGTGTGCACGTTGTGCGCAACGTGTACATTGTGCGCGTGTGCATGTGCATGTGAGTGTGTAGCGTGTGTACACTGTGCGTGCGTACACTGCGCGTGCGAGTGTGAGCACACTCGCACGCGCGGGTAGGATTTCACACATTCCCCACTAAGTGTGCATTAGCGCCTGTTAATTTAGTGAGCTCCTCTCTTTGCATAACGGCTAAAATTAACCCTCGACTCTTGACAAGACGCCAAGTTTCACGTCGGGCTTTGCGCACGCTCGCCAGTTCAGTTACAAACACAACGGCTTCTCAATTACTCCCACAATTCTGCATTTTCAGGGCCCCCATTGATTTTCTCTCCCGCTCTCTCTTTCTGTCTGTTTACGCATTGCTGGTATTTCTTCCGGTTTCTTACCAGTTGTGCTGTCGGCATCGCCCAGAGGTGACGGTTGTCACACTGCGGCCACACCGGTGACTTTTGCGATGGTTGTCACGTCGCCATGAAGCATATATTCGGAAACCCTTCACAGAGCAAATGGCGACCCTCCGCGCTAGGGAACGCCCCCACCCCCCCCCCCGCAGAAGCGGTTACTGCAGAGCTACCGCTGAGGTCCCTTCTTCAAGTGACCTCCCCAGTTGACACCTCCCATTAGCACGGTTGGCTGCGTACGGTGCGAAAGAAGTTCAACATACATACGACTACTATTTTTATTTTACCAGGTAAGACCCACTGAGCTATATAGCTGTTTTTTCAGATGCGACCTGCCTATCACAAATGATAGTTCAACGAAGTGGCTTATCACGTGGAAATGTATTGCTGCCAAATACTCTAAATGTGAAAAACCAGAGGACTCGGAGAAAAATCCACGTGACCACGGGGAGAACTTGAAAATTCCAAATGTACAGCAGGTGTCAGGGTCGTGATCGAACTCGCATCCTCCTGTATACCAGGTGAGGTAGTTAACATCTTGGCCACCATGGTACCCACTTCCAGGCGAGGGTAGCACTTCCCCACCTGGGCTGAATATGACTGTAAATGTCCAAGTCGATATTTTTGATTTCCAGAGCGATAATTTTGCCAAACTAAGTGGTCACACTCGTGCCTCACAGTAAAAAAAAAATGCCTTGATTCGATTCCCGACTCGGATGCCTAGTCTCCCCCTGATGGTCTGTGTGGAGCGTGCATGTTCTCACCCTGGTCTGTGTGGAGCGTGCATGTTCTCCCCCTGGTCTGTGTGGAGCGTGCATGTTCTCCCCTAGTCTGTGTGGAGCGTGCATGTTCTCCCCTAGTCTGTGTGGAGCGTGCATGTTCTCGCCCTGGTCTGTGTGGAGCGTGCATGTTCTCCCCTAGTCTGTGTGGAGCGTGCATGTTCTCCCCTAGTCTGTGTGGAGTGTGCATGTTCTCACCCTGGTCTGTGTGGAGCGTGCATGTTCTCCCCTAGTCTGTGTGGAGCGTGGATGTTCTCCCCCTGGTCTGTGTGGAGCGTGCATGTTCTCCCCTAGTCTGTGTGGAGCGTGCATGTTCTCACCCTGGTCTGTGTGGAGCGTGCATGTTCTCCCCTAGTGTGTGTGGAGCGTGCATGTTCTCACCCTGGTCTGTGTGGAGCGTGCATGTTCTCCCCCTAGTCTGTGTGGAGCGTGGATGTTCTCCCCCTGGTCTGTGTGGAGCGTGCATGTTCTCCCCTAGTCTGTGTGGAGCGTGCATGTTCTCCCCCTGGTCTGTGTGGAGCGTGCAGGTTCTCCCCTAGTCTGGGTGGAGCGTGCATGTTCTCCCCTAGTCTGTGTGGAGCGTGCATGTTCTCCCCTAGTCTGTGTGGAGCGTGCATGTTCTCACCCTGGTCTGTGTGGAGCGTGCATGTTCTCCCCTAGTCTGTGTGGAGCGTGCATGTTCTCCTCCTAGTCTGTGTGGAGCGTGCAGGTTCTCCCCTAGTCTGCGTGGAGCGTGCATGTTCTCCCCTAGTCTGTGTGGAGCGTGCATGTTCTCCCCGAGTCTGTGTGGAGCGTGCATGTTCTCACCCTGGTCTGTGTGGAGCGTGCATGTTCTCCCCTAGTCTGTGTGGAGCGTGCATGTTCTCCTCCTAGTCTGTGTGGAGCGTGCAGGTTCTCCTCCTAGTCTGTGTGGAGCGTGCATGTTCTCACCCTGGTCTGTGTGGAGTGTGGATGTTCTCACCCTGGTCTGTGTGGAGTGTGGATGTTCTCACCCTGGTCTGCATGGAGCGTGCATGTTCTCCCCCTGGTCTGCGTGGAGCGTGCATGTTCTCCCCCTAGTCTGCATGGAGCGTGCATGTTCTTCCCCTAGTCTATGTGGAGCGTGCATGTTCTCCCCCTGGTCTGCGTGGAGCGTGGATGTTCTCCCCTAGTCTGTGTGGAGCGTGCATGTTCTCCCCCTGATGGTCTGCGCGGAGCGTGCATGTTCTCCCCTAGTCTGCGTGGAGCGTGCATGTTCTCCCCCTTAGATTGTTTCACCGGTATTGGCCTACACAACATCAACGCTGCAGGGCTCACCTGCGAAATTACTCCGTTAAATTGGGTATTCCGCACGGCAGCAACGGCCACCCCTCTGCTGTGAAGGCTTTGGCACGACCCTCCTGAAAATAAGATGCTGGGCACTCCGGCGACGGAGCTTTGCCCGAGCGAGCAAAACGTAATTGAATAAATAATAGCGCTTCGGAAAAACTGAGGGTGAGGATCGCTCGAGTTATCTGAGCAATGAGGAAACACGGAGAGTGGGGGGGGTGGGCTTGGTCCGCGGGAGTCGAGTCTCACTCCGCTCTGATTTAACGCGGTTGGCTGGCTACGTACGGTGCGAAAGAAGTTCAACGTACGTGTGTGCTGTCCCGACTTTCCCCAAGGCCCAGTTACTGTCACTCGGAAGTCATGTGTGGTTGTGTTTTACACGACTTTTTTTTTTAGTTTCGCAGTGTTTTACTGTTGAACATATTCTTTTTTCCTAAAGAATGCTGATTCAGTGGATGTTGGTGACTGTGGAGAGTGTGCGTCTATGGTGCATATGTCTTTGTAATGTGAGTGTGTGTTGATCTACGTCTGTGTGTCTGCGATCGTATATGTGCGTGTGAAAGCATGTGTGTGTGAGTGTGTGCACGCTAACAACACGTGCCCCAACAGTCGGTCAAGGATATATGGGGGGGTGGGGGGGGGGTCTTAGTCTTTTTGCGTGTGTCTCTGGGGGTGCGTCTCCGAGAGTGTGACTGGGTGTGCGTCTCCTTTGTCTTCCCGTCTAGGGCCCCCCGGACCCCCGGGAAGGGACGGGAAAGACGGGGTCCCAGGACCTCCCGGCCCAGCAGGTGAGGCTGCTGCTGCTGCCACTGCTGCTGCTGCCGCTGTTGCTGCTGCCACTGCTGCTGTTGCTACTGCCACTGCTGCTGTTGCCACTGCTGCTGCTGTTGCTGCTGCCACTGCTACTGCCACTGCTGCTGTTGCCACTGCTGCTGCTGTTGCTGCTGCCACTGCTGCTGTTGCTACTGCCACTGCTGCTGTTGCCATTGCTGCTGCTGTTGCTGCTGCTGCTGCCGCTGTTGCTGCTGCTGCCACTGCTGCTGTTGCTACTGCTGCTTCTGTTGCCACTGCTGCTGCTGTTGCTGCCACTGCTGTTGCCGCTGCTGCTGCTGCTGTTGCCACTGCTGCTGCTGCGTTTTCATGACCGCTTCCCTCTGGGCTGTGATGGCCCAAGGGATGGACCCCGGTTCCATTCCTGGGCCCGGATCTGTGTCCCCTCCCCCCGCCCCAACACGTGCCATGAGCCATGAGCAGCGATGGAGAAGTTGCAGTTTACGCTGCAGTGTGCAGTTATTCGGCATCTCAGAATCGGAATCTTTTATTTAGACTGGAGGAATCTGATGAGCTGTGAAGCTTTTTTTGTTTTGTTCACAGATGTCCAGTAGGGGCAGGTCAGTGGCGAGTTAGCACTGTTGGCTGCGAACGTTGCAAAAGAAGTTTAACATCTATGCGCTGTATGCACACCGCATCGTACAGCGGCATCGAAACTCGGCCACATCTTAACAGGCTTCACAGAAACAGTGGGCGTGTTACATTTGTGGAGGCGGTCAACAGATATTATAATATATGGGTCCCTGTGTGAGTCGATGGATCTCTGTACGAGTCTGTGGGTCTCAACCTTTCATTCTCCGTACGAGTCTATGGGGTCTCTTCATCGGTCTATGGATTACTCGAAGTCTGGTATCTGTGTGAGTCTGGGTCTCTGTGCAGGTTTGTACAATGGGGATTTGCACAGTGGAGTTTAAACGTTATCGCATCTCAAGACGTTGAACAGAGAGACAGGGGGCCCCCCCCCCTCCCCATGCCGTGCGGGTCGTGTAGGTCGTGCCGGGGTGAATTTCCCGTAACTTTACCACTTCTGGCCAGCCGAGAGTTGCCCACCGTGCATCCCCCCGCAGCAAGCCCAGGACGAACAACTAATCCCAAGCTCTCTGCGGGCTTGACCCCTGCTTGACCTCCCCAAATCCGATGGGACCCCGGAGCGTCCGGGCCGCGCATCATTCCGTGGAGGGACCTCGCGTTGCCCGGAGAAGGCCAACGATAGCCCAGGGACTGATGGTGACGGTCGCTTACCTAGTCACTCCACTGCCTCGTATGTACTGTGCGTGTGCGTTGAACTTCTTTCGCACCGTACGTGGCCAACCGTGTTAATCGGAGGTGCGGGGGAAGGACAACAAACTAAACACAAAACCCAGTTCTAAAGAACTGGGTTTTTAATCTAGATTTAAGTGCTTAGCTCCAATGGCTTCCTAATATCGAAAGGAAGTGCATTCCAGACGGCCGCAGACGCGCATCTGAAATCACGCGACGCAGTGACCGCGTCTTTGTTCAGATGGTTAGCCAGAAGCCGCGGCTGTGAGGATGAGCGGAGTTCACGTGACGTTCAGTGCTCCTTGACGAGATGAGCGAGGTGTTGCGAGGCGTCGCGACACCTCGCTCATCTCGTCAAAACCGTCATGTGACCTCGGCCCATCCTCACAGCCGCACAGGCGGGGGCCGGGCCGTCGCTCGGCGTGCTGCTGCTGCTGCTGCTTCCCGCGTCGTGTGTCTCCTGACGTTGTGGTGCCGCCTTTGTGTCCGCAGGTTCGCCCGGATCGTGCGATGTGAGTACACGGCCTTTTACACCACCCCCCTTTGTGTCTGTTACAACCCCCCCCCCCCTTTGTGTCTTTTACCCCCCCCTTTGTGTCTTTTACCCCCCCCTTTGTGTCTTTTACCCCCCCTTTGTGTCTTTTACCCCCCCCCCCCTTTGTGTCTTTTACCCCCCCTTTGTGTCTTTTACACCCCCCCCCCCTTTGTGTCTTTTACCCCCCCTTTGTGTCTTTTACCCCCCCCCTTTGTGTCTTTTACCCCCCCCCCCCCCTTTGTGTCTTTTACACCCCCCCCTTTGTGTCTTTTACCCCCCCCTTTGTGTCTTTTACCCCCCCCTTTGTGTCTTTTACCCCCCCCCCCTTTGTGTCTTTTACCCCCCCCCCTTTGTGTCTTTTACCCCCCCCTTTGTGTCTTTTACCCCCCTCCCCTTTGTGTCTTTTACCCCCCCCCCCTTTGTGTCTTTTACCCCCCCCCCCTTTGTGTCTTTTACACCCCCCCTTTGTGTCTTTTACCCCCCCTTTGTGTCTTTTACCCCCCCCCCCCCTTGTGTCTTTTACCCCCCCCTTTGTGTCTTTTACTCCCCCCCCCTTTGTGTCTTTTACCCCCCCCCTTTGTGTCTTTTACACCCCCCCCTTTGTGTCTTTTACCCCCCCCCTTTGTGTCTGTTACCCCCCCCCCCCCCCCTTTGTGTCTTTCCCCCCCCCCCCCCTTTGTGTCTTTTACCCCCCCCCTTGTGTCTTTTACCCCCCCCCCCTTTGTGTCTTTTACCCCCCCCCTTTGTGTCTTTTACCCCCCCCCCCCCCTTTGTGTCTTTTACCCCCCCCCCTTTGTGTCTTTTACCCCCCCCCCCCCCCCTTGTGTTGTTGGATCTTCCACCGCGATGAGGAATCTGAATGTTGTTTGTCCTCGTTGTGGCTCTCTTCCCGCGAATTCCGTGTCCTGGTTTAGTTTTTTTCTCCCAGAATTCCTTTTTGTTATGGTCACTGACGTCTCACAATGCCCCACGTGTTCTAGCTGCGGGCATTCCACAATACGATTGTCGTCTTCCTAGTTTACATTTCTGTCATCTTTGTGGGGGTGGTGGTGGTGGTGGTCGAGGAGGTGACGTGGTGGTGGTGGTGGTTGTGATTGAGGAGGTGACGTGGTGGTGGTGATTGAGGAGGTGACGTGGTGGTGGTGGTGGTGGTCGAGGAGGTGACATGGTGGTGGTGGTGGTGGTGGTGATTGAGGAGGTGACGTGGTGGTGGTGATTGAGCAGGTGACGTGGTGGTGGTGTTGGTGGTCGAGGAGGTGAGAGAGACTGTGGCCCCCTCCCCCCTCTCTCTCAGGACGTCGTAAAGGTGGCCCATGTGCCCGGCATTGATGCCATCGTCAGCGTGGAGAAGGGTAAGTAACGAGTGGGGTGACCGCACGTGTGCCTCATGGCACGGTCAGCGAGGTGGGACCCAAACGTAAGGGCGTGCGTGTACCGTGGGAGCGGCAGCGTAGCGGTTAGCGCTACGCTGCGCTACGAACCCAGCGACCCGAGTTCAATTCCCACTCACGGCCAACGCCAGTGACGATTATCTGTACCGGTCCTGGAGCTCCTCTAGGTCTTCTCGGCCTCACGAGTACCCGGTGCGGTGTGTAAACATCGCCACTGGGGAGACAAAGGCGGCCGGGCGTGGTGCTGGCCACTCACCCACCCCCCCCGTGTGCCGTGCCGGATTGCATAGGTGCTCGCAAACAGCACTTGCCCCAACAGTCTGTTAAGGCTTTACGTGGGATCTTTGTCTTTGTGTGTGTGTGGTGCTACATGAGTGTGTGTAGCACTGACGTGAGTGTGTGTGCGTTCGATACTGTGAGTGTGTGCGTGCCACGCTGTGTGTGTATGGTGCTAACGTGAGTGTGTGTGCCGTGGTGTGCGTGAGATCTTAAAGGGGGTGTGCTCTCGGACTGGGACAGGGAGCGCCTCCTCCTCTCACCCGGCGCGTTTCGCCTTCTCCGCTCCGGCGAACTCGAGGTGCTCATGCCCGGCCTCTACTTCATATACAGCCAGGTACTCGCATCTCCACATCAACTCGGAAAAAAAACCCCGCAGGGCTGAAACTATGAACAAAAACTTTTTTTTATTTTACTAGGTAAGGGCCGCTGAGCTATATAGCTTTTATTTCTGAAACGAAGTGGCTTACCGTGTGGACATTTACAGCAACCAAATACTCTTGAACGCATGTTTCATTCGAAATGTGGATGAAAAAAAAACAGAGCACCCGGAGGAAAATCCATGCAACCACGGATAAAGAGACATGCAAACTCCAAAAATATACAGGCATCGTCAGGGTCGAGATCGCACCCACAACTACCTGTATACCAGGCGAGGTAGTTAACATCTTGGCCCCCTCTTCTGCTAGGCCATGTGCCGCTCGCAGGCCGGATCTGTGTACACCTTGTGGCTGCATAAGGACAGCTGTCGCTGGGGCTTCCCTCGGCTGGACCACAGCATGGCATTGGCACGGTTGAAACTTGATGTCTCGTCTGGTTTTACAGGAGGTCGTGGGTTCGATCCAGACCCTGACGCCTGTTGTATATTTGGAGTTTTCATATTTCTCTCTCTCCCTGTGGTCGCGTGGATTTTTCTCCAGGTCCCCCGGTTTTTCCCCCCACATTTAGAATGAACATCACGCGTTTAGAGTATTTGGCTGCTATACATTTCCACATGATAAGCCACTTCATTGAGTTATCATTTGTGGCCATGTAATTTCTGAAAATGAAGTGCATAGCTCAGTGGGCCTTACCTGGTAAAATAAAACTAGTTTATTTTGTTTTAGTTGCTGAAGCATTAAAGCAAGCGGCAAAGCCTTGCCCCCCTCAACCTCCCCCCCCCTTGTCCCCCCTTTCCTCCCTCACCCTCTCACCCCCCCCCCCCGCCCCCCACCAGGTGTTCTACCGGAACTTCTCAGACGTAACGGGCCACGTGCTGGTGCTGAACGGGCGCGAGGAATTCCTGCAGTGCTCGCTTAGCGCCGGCGTCGGCCTTGGAGGCTCGGGGGGGGGCTCGGGAGGCGGGGGGGGGTTCGGCACGTGCCACGCGGCGTGCGTGCGAGCCCTGCGCGCCGGCGACCGGCTGGCGCTGACGGCGCTCTACCCGCGCACGCACATCACCTCCCACCCGCGCGCCACCTTCATGGGCGCCGTGCGCCTCGGGGCCGGGTAGCGCCAGCGGTGGGTGGGGGGAGGGGAGGTGGTGGGGGGAGGGGGGGGGGGGGCCGGTGATTCCGTGAAGGAGCGGCGGCGGAGCGGTTAGCGCGCCGCGCTACGAAAGCGGCGAACCCGAGTTCCGAGTGCCCGGCCGCGGCCAACAACGGTGGCGAATATTTGAGCCGGTCTTGGGCTGGCCTCCTCTAGGTCGGCTCGGCCTTAAATGCATACCTGGTGCGGTGTGTGAACGTCAACACTGAGGAGGCAAGGGCGGCCGTGCGTGGTGCTTGCCACTCACCCACTCGTGTGCCGTGCCGGCCTTGATAGGGTGCTCGCTAACGGCACTTGCCCAACAGCCTGTTAAGGCTTTACGGGGGGGGGGGGGGTCTTTGTCATGTCTTTGTGAGATCTCGGTCCGTGTGTCTTTCGAGCCCTGTGCGTGACTGCACTACGATCCCGGACACCTTGGTTCGATTCCTGTCCACGGCTAACACGGGTGGCAAAGCGGTATCTGAACCTCTGCTGTGCCTCCTCTAGGTTGACTTTAGCTTTAAATGAGTACCTGGTGCAGTTTGCAAACATCTGCGCTGGGCGGAAACTTTGGTGGCCGGCTGTGGGGCTTGCCCCGGTCGTATTGACGGGTGCTCGCTAACAGCACTCGCCCCAACGCTGAGTGGAGGCTCCATGGGGAGAGCTTTTGTCTCTTGCTGTGTTCCAGTGCGTTTTGTGGAAAGTGCCTTGGCTGGCCACCGATTTCCTTGTCTGGCCACCGATTCCCTTGTGTCCAAGATTCCTACGAATCGCCACAGTCAGCTTGAATCATTAAGTGTGATGAAGGGGGTTTCGAGTGCTGCTTTGAGGGAGCGGAAGATCACCTCTTCTACCCTTGCGCTCACGGGGAGGGGTGGTGTTGTGCTTGCACTGTGTGTAGCGCTCCAATGAAAACAGTTACTTCCCCCTACTGGCCAAATGGGATGGCAGCCTCCAATCAGCTTGCAGGAGGAGGTCACATGACTGCGAAAGGTTGCGTATACAGTCTGTTCTGTAACAACGTTGTAGTTGCATTCCTGAAGAACATCGCGTTATGGAAAAATCGCGTCCTCATATATAATGTAGGGTAAAGCACAGTCCGCGATTAAACGTGATGTGCGTCCGCAGGCTGAACAAACACCGAGGCACGTGGGTAGCATCCAGCAGTATCCCCAATGCCTTGTGCGATGCTACGCCGAGGCAGACCACACGCCCGCTTATCCCACTCGGTCGCGTTATATCCAATTCGCATCCGCATTTTAAACAAAAACATGTTCCCCAATGCCTTTATAGCATTGTATCCAAATTCGCGTTATGAAAAAAACACGGAGCGTTAGAGGAGGACGGACCGCATTCCCTAGACCGGTGATGGGCAAGCCAGACAAGTCGGTGGGCGGGGGTGGGCGGTGGGCGGGGGTGGGCGGTGGGCGGGGGTGGGCGGTGGGCGGGGGTGGGCGGTGGGCGGGGGTGGGCGGTGGGGCCACGTGAGCGACCCCTCCGTCAACTTGGGTAGGCCCCAAGCTTGACACCGTGCTCGGTGCGCTCACCGTGACCCCACGCATCGCCGTAGACACACTTAGACCAGGCCATGTTTTTTGGGCTTAGACCTCGTAAATATCAACGCGTCGTTTAACCCACCACCGCCCGACACGGCCAATTTTAGTAAGGTTTTGTTCACGTGAACAAAACATGCCAATTAGTTACGATTTCGTCATGCACCGGTGTGTGTGCGTTGGCAAGAGTCAGGGGCGGAGACACAGGGGGAGCTGGGGGGGGCTTAGCCCCCCCTGAAATTTTGGGAAAGTTGGTAATCGGGATAACCAATATCCGGCTGCTGCAAAATTCTGCAGGCTGCCACCTCGTGCTGCCCTGCAGGCTGTCACCTTGTGCTGCCACCTTGTGCTGCCCTGCAGGTGCCACCTTGTGCTGCCACCTTGTGCTGCCACCTTGTGCTGCCCTGCAGGCTACCACCTTGTGTGCTGCCCTGCAGGCTGCCACCTTGTGTGCTGCCACCTTGTGTGCTGCCACCTTGTGTGCTGCCACCTTGTGCTGCCACCTTGTGCTGCCCTGCAGGCTGCCACCTTGTGTGCTGCCACCTTGTGCTGCCCTGCAGGCTGCTTGAGCGGCAGCCTTTCGAACTTATCGAACTTATTAGCCACATCGACTGCTCCGACCTATTAATAAACTCCGCGTTCAAATCCAATAAAATTTGTTTTATACATTTGTGGCGCCCATTGGAAAACATAAACACTGGATATCTCAGAATATTGAAGTCAGCCCCCCCAAAGTCAATCCTGGCTCCGCGCCTGGCAAGAGTAAGCCCACAGCATTTACAGTTCGAGTACTGTGACGTTTCGCCGGTGGTGACAGGCTTCATCGGGCGATTTTGCCGGTATTGTGAAGAAAGTCTTCCTGTTTCTGGTCTTGGTGATGTTAACATTGCTGCGTGAGCCATCTTGAGGTGCGAAGACCAGGCAACGTCAACTACTGATGCTCCACGGGCCGCATTGTGGGGCCCGCGGGCCGCAGGTTACCCAACCATTGCCCCTTGTCGACCCAACGGCAGAGTGTGTCGCACTCCCCAAACAATCTCTCGTCTTCTTACCGCTGCGCCGCTGTCCGGCGCGTTCTCGGCTTGTTACCGCGCCGCTGCCATCGTCATCGTCTTCCGGGGAACGATGTCCGACGTTTCGCTCCGCGTGCTCGGAGCAGCGCGCGTAGCGAAACGCCAGCTGACTCGCAGAATTGTCGATCGGATGTGATTGGTTGCTCGCCATGTCCGGGGCAGTGGAATAGGGGGGAGGGGGGGGCTTGTTGTGAAGTTTGTGAACTTAATGCCAACTGATTTCGAGACGAGTTGTGTTTTTTTAAGTGTTTTCCGGATTTTATTCCGATTGTGCATCATCATCACCGCCATAGTCATCACCGCCGCTTTCATCACCTCCGCTATCATCACCACCACAACCATCACCAAAATCGTCACTGTCGCTATCATCACAACCACCACAACCATCACCACCATCTCGACCATCACCACCACAATTATCGCCACCACAATCATTACCGCTAACGTCACCACCACAACCATCACCACCATCTCGACCATTACCGTTAACCACACATTACTTGTAGCAAAATTCAGGCTTGCTGCTTTGCAAAATGTTTCTATTTGGTGTTTGAACATTAACACCTCCTGTTTTATTGCCAGAAAGGGTAAAACCTATTCTTATTTCCATACTTTGATGGTGGCAGAAAGCTGCCAGTGTATTGCGTATTTCACAAGCATGAAGTTGTGTAAATGGCCGAGTACTGTCTGACCCCAGATGCGGGATGAGAGAAGTGGTCCTTGGGCACTCCTGACGTTGACCCCAAACTCCTAACCATGAGCCCAAACCTTGAGCCCTAACCTTCAACCCCAATACTAACCAGTAAACCCCCTTAGCCCCAAACAGCTGAACCAAACGTGTACATGACAACTCAAAACGTTCAACCTAAACCGTGATTCCAGACTCACCCTTAACCTATAACCTCAAACATAACCTGAAATCCTGACCCCGTATCCGTGAAAGACTAAATAACAAATTCATGACCTTCCATAGTTAAATCTTGACATAGTTCACCAACTGAAGCCTAAAAGCGCTGTTATTGGTCGAAAACCTGGCCTACGATTGTACAAATATGTGCAGGGCCAAGAGTAGGCCCACAGACGCCATTCCTTTACCCACATCTGGAGGTGGCAGCGGCGGGAGGGAGGGGGGTGGGTCAGTATTGTAAATACATTGGATGTGTGTGTGTGTGGCGTGCGTGCTTGTACATAATGCGTGTCGGTGCGCATCGGTTTTGCCCATTCTCGTAATTCTGCCAAAGGGACGTTGAATGTAACCGCTGCGTGCTGAGCAGAGGGCCGTGGGGGTCGCGCGACCTGCCAGCTGAATTGCCAGGGCAGCGTTCACCCCGTGACACGGGGCGTCCGTTTGAGCTGTGAAATCGCTGCAAAGTGCCAACGGCTACCGATCGGGGCCCGTGAGTCGCTGCTTGCCCACACCCAGTGCCTCGGTTGCTCTTCGATTATTGTCCGGCGTGCGCCGAGATCCTTTCCCTCGATGCAGCAACGTAGCTGTAGTTAGTGTAGCGGCTGTCAGGACGCACCCTGCGTGTAGCGATGTAGCTGTCGTGTACCGGCTGTCACAGCGCACCCTGCGTGTAGCGACGTAGCTGTAGTTAGTGTACCGGCTGTCACGCTGCGCCCAGCATGTAGCGACGTCTGATAGCGAGATGGAGGCCGCGGATTTGCCGCAAATCGCCGGTGAAGTCGGAAAGGCCCTGGAGGTGTCTTTAGAGTATTTTTTTTAAGTCCACGTGCAATTTATGTCCGGCGTACATTTCATTTCCCACGAAAGTGAATTCGCTTACTTCGTACGTATGTGTGTACGTTGAACTTTTTTCGCACCATACCATTGCATAGCCAAACCGTGCTCATCGCAGGTGCGGTGGACGGCGCAGTGGGAACGAGGACGACAAACTAAACACAAATATTCTCCTTTTGTTTGGAGTCGCAATGTTGGTCACTTTAAAAGCTTCGACTGTTTATTTAGAATATTTTTTTAAAACAAACCAAACATAAGAGAGACGGGCGCCTGTGGCCCGTCTCGACAAGGCCTCTAACAGTCGCGAGGCTTGCGCCTTGCATCGACGAAATAACATCTGGCGACCCCCCACACCCACTCCGGCAGCATTATATTTCACCAGCCTTTGCGTAACAGGTGTGGTGATGTTCCTGATAACGTTGCTGGACACATGCAGTAGGATGGAGAACAACAGGAACATTGAAAAACGTCGTTGTTGTTGCTCGGGGAAATATGTGAAGGAACCGGACAGAGAGGAAGACCTCGTCACAGAATGGCTTGATGGCAACATGAGAGATTGATGCCAGGATGATGTGCGCATGCTTGAGCCTACTGGCACAAGACAGAGGAAAGTGGAAACAATTGATT